AATGTATAAATATAGTACTGTAAATATATAATTTAATATTAAGGCATTTTTGCTTTACGCAACCCGTTTTAACCTCTCGCCACCCTTATTCACCAGAGGTGGCCATGATATGATCGTACACTTGGGGGGTAGCTTAAGGACTGTGAATGGCTCTTTTACTACGGTGAATGGGAATTTCCTTACTCCCTTGTACCATGAATCTGATGAACATGGGTTCAAGAGTCGCACCACATTTTCGAGATATTTCTAGAAATTAATGAAAAAAAGATAGAAAGTGCATACAATTTATTATAAACAAATATTTTTACCATCCAAATGACACAGCTTCAACTTGTAAAGTGTTTTTATTTCCATGAATCGAATAGTTATATACTGTTTGGAGTGTAGATAAATTTAGTGTCTGTTGAAAGATGCTGTTGAAATTATTATTCTGTTTGTCCGCCATCATGAATGACTGGAAAAAATCCGAACTCATTATTTTTATTGGAAAGAGAACAGATTTTATTTATATTTTTAGAAAGATGTTCGTAAGTGTCTTGCGAAGTGGTAAATTAGATGTTTCCCATATTTGAGAGGAGATTATTCTAGTGGATTTTGAAACATAGATCTCAAATTCAAAACTTGATGACCCATAACTTTGCTATTTATTATTGATAAGACTTTATAAATATTATTTCCAACGCTGTAATAATTGTTTGGGTTGGTTTCTGACAAAAAAGGTATTGTTTTTTTTTCAAAATTTCCTTGACTTGAAGGACTAATGCTTTGCTCCACCAAACGATTATAAAGTTGTACCGATATGTTGTTTTTTTTTTTGTAAGTCTCTCTGTAATATTCCAAGTTTATTTTCTAATTTGAAGGCGCTGATAGTTTCGCTTGATCCATACAGCAAGCAATCATTAACCAGACAATGAATGAGTAAACTGAGACAATGAAAGTTGTAAACTGATATACATAGATGCATAATAATACTCAGGCAATAACTTCACAAAACTCTGCAATAACTCATCAGCACACCTATTGTTAGTTTGGCATTGCTTACTGTCCAATAAAATCCTCATGGATAAACTGAGTTGCAGAAAATGCAAATACCGTTTTTCGTCTAAAACAGTTTTTAATACAAACGGCCCAACATACAGCAGAAAAGTTCGAAATGCAGTCGCTTTATATCCTTCGAACTCTTTCAAATCTCTCGTACTTCTCCGGAATTCGCGTGGTAGCATTCCTTTTAAAAACAGTAGCTGATCGTTAAGTTTAACTATATTTTGATTTCATTTCATTTCATTCAACATTCAATGTTTTCACAACACCCAAACAAACAACATGCATGTAATCCATAGGAAAGGATTTTATAAGGTCTACGGATAAGTCTTCTATGGCCATGTGATTAAATTCTTTGTGGAAATTTGTATCCGATCTTTGTCTGAAACTTTCATCCGTCTGCAATGTGCTGTTTTTCTTGAAATACGGTGATTTATGTGCTCACCTCTTTGGTTACATTTATGGCAAGAACTGTAGCCTGTGTGACTTTTTATTCCCATTAGTAGCGACGTAGCTGGAGCATCACATATGATGGCATGACACTTAATTTTATATATTTTGTTATTGTATGCAAAATTTTCGTTCATGAATTCTCTTAATTCGTCCACAAAAGGTTGTATAAACTCGTAAACATCTTTTGGCTTGCTGTTTTCACTATAAATGCCAACAGTTTGTACTGCCTCCGTACAATTAGTGTTAATTAAAATTGGCCAGGCCTGCGCTAAGGAACTTTTCGCTACTGGAAGTCGGTCTATGTTTATATTTAAATCAATTATATCATTTAAATATGTTGTTTGGCTTAAAAAATCGGTAACGCAATATCTTAGGCCGWAATGAACATAATTGCCGCCTTGTATTTGAGTTATAGGTGCATCACGAGGTGTTTGCTTTAAAGTTCTTGTATTCCGTGGTAGATATGGAAAAGTTTTTCCTAAGATAATCAGTAACTCATTGATTGCTCTATTTGATATAGTATGCTTAACTGACCAAATAGCAAGATCTGTTTTTATATCCGCGTTATTAATTAAGAGCTCAGCATTATCATTTTCCTCAGAATTGTAAATTTCATTTTCTGTTTCACTGATTGCATCACAAATATTATTTGCTTCACTAAAATCATTTTGACTGGAGCTGGTTGCAATATTCTCATCTTCATTATTCTTTTTTTTCTTTTTTGCACTTAATAACAAACTAACAACTTCACTAGACTAGATAGAATTTGTGTTCTCTTTCGCGAATTCAAATATCACTTCACTTATCAGTAATGACCTCTGCGTGCTGCTCATACATATGTACATGTGCACATAAATATGTACGTATGACATGGGCACACAAATAATGCAAACCTACATACTCACATGCATGTAAATGTGTCACCCACAAAATCTACAAGCATTGTTCTACCAAAAAAAAAAAAACAAAAATACAACATCATAAATTGAACAACTGAACATCAATTGAACAACTGAACATCAATTGAACAGCTAATCTAATAACATGATGTTCAACTTATTCCAGTGTGAGAGCGCCTAAAAATAAGCGTTTTTTATAACATTTTCCATTATGGCCAGATCGAACAAAATAAGAATTTTTGGGCATTTTAAATTAAAACACCCAACATTTAGTACGAATAAAAATTACTATATAGTGGTTATTTATTATATGGAGAAACTATTTGAATCCTTTTAAAATATATTAGAACAACTGACTTTTGACCTTTCAATACCCAATAAAAGAATTTAGCTTGTTTGCTGTCAATCATTAAATTTTTTAATCATATTCTGTTGAAAATAATACGATGATGCTTCAAATTACAAATTTCACAAATTTATTTAATTTTCATTGTTTAACAGTTTTTATAAGTGGTCTTGAACGATACAACAAATCCCTCCGTTTACATATTTTCTTTTTAAGATTGCAATCTGGCCAACGCTCGTTTACAATTGGTAAACGTCAAAGCCTACTGAACTTGATTAGCTGTCAAAGTTCAGTAGGCTTTGACGTTTCTCTTTATCTCTGCTAGTAATGAGAAAGGAAGGAGGTTCGCAAAAATCACAGTCGATATGTATCATTGCAGAAATATACAAGTAAAAAAATATGGTAAATCATATGGTCTTCAACAGCTGAGATCACCTGATCGATATAGTTGATTCTTCGGCACAGTGATTCAAGTAAAAGGATTTCAAAATAAAAAATAGGTTGCAGTAAAGGCGCGTTACCGATATTTTTTGTTCATTAAGTTCCCCCGGAGGCTTATTTTCACCCATGTAATATATATAATACTAAACAGAACTATTTGTAATAATTTAAACAAAAATATATATATTCTTCAAATATTTTTAATAAACTAGAAAAGATTTACAAATATTTTTGTTTAAATGAGTTAAGCATCCACTCACTTACCCGGGAAAAGTGGCGCACCCTAATACAACAGCGCAATTCACCACAACTAATGACACCACTCAACACAACTCACCTTACATCTACATTATTCAACCCACTCAACAAAAAGGATGGGGAAAAGGGAAAGCTGACCACATTCGTTTTACACGTCGCGTCGACACCTTTCGATCACCTAGTTTCACCGGGATACTGACTCGCCTGCTCGCCGTGGATTTCCATCGGACATTCGCCCGCAACGAGGCTACTTACATTTCACTGCTTAATTGTTAAATATATCAAAATCTTTTTAAGCCAACAGTTTACATAAAATTTTCTCATGTACAAACACAAAAGCATTTTTTTCTTGCCGCCGTTCAAACATGGCATTGCATTTTGTTTTTAATAAAGTGGTAGTGAGTGAATTATTGGAAAAATAAGTGGTGGGTGTACACTTTTGTAATCAATTTTGATACAATAAATAAAATTTTTATCAAAACTAGAAAAATTTAATCTTTATGAATTTTAATAATCGAAATACATTTGAAAATTTAACAAAAACGTACTTAAAATAATACATTGGATAGCATAACACGGCAACACACTCGTGCCTTTCCTAAGGCATTTGGCTGTTTTAGTAGTAGAATGTTTAGGAAACCCTAACTAACTGCCTGGGCTTTTGCCCTGAGTCTTCCCTAATTCTATTGCATTCTTAATGTAATTTCTGTCATTCTATAAGCTTTCGCCTGCGTATGTATGGGTGAAGATGACAGGATTTCTTACTTGTAAGTTTATACAATGGTCGATCCAGCCACGAATTAACATCACACAAGACTATAGCGCTAAACCAAATATACTTCTTCTTCTTGATTGGCGTAGACACCGCTTACGCGATTATAGCCAAGTGGCGCCAATTAGATATTCCAAATACCAAATATACCCTGCGAGAAATATTTTATGATTTTATGTTCCAAGTCTTTTAAAGATAATAGGGAATATATCCTTAAAAGAAATTTTGTTAATTTTCATTATACTATTAATTAGTTAGATAAAAAGAACGAAAATGTCTTTTTAAAGAATCTTCTCATCATCATCATCATCTTTTTGATTAATTTTAATTACAATTTCCCACTGGGCTACTTTTTTTCCAAACAGCGACAGATCCTCTCATGCCGACCACTGTCTTAAAATTGTATATAAATACGTAAAAACCCTAAATAAAATGAGAGTAAAATAGTTCTCGTGGAATGAAATAATTCTCACAGAACAAGACTATCAATTATTTCCCCCCACCAGTGGTAAGGAATATTTGACAAAGCTTGACTTTTGTTCATTTGGTCCTTCGAGCCGGATTGTGGTCTCAGCCAAAGAAATGATCTGTATAAGGAAAATACAGGCAAAAAAAGTCCTATAAGAAGAAAAATGTAGGCAAAAGAAAGGCCTGTATGAAGGAAAATATAAGCAAGAGAAAGACCTCTATGGAGGAAAATACAGGCAAGATTAACGAGCCTAAGAAGAGTGCTCAGCCCACTAAAAAATACCTATATGAAGAAAAATATAGGCACGAAGGAGAAAAATAAAGGAGAGAGAGAGAGAAAAACTTTAACTAGAAACAATACTCAAAAAAACACAACATGTTCAAAATCGAACGAAAGTCCTAAGTGATGGATACAGGAGCAAGAGCGTATAGCTTAACCGAAAACGGAATAGATCTTTTATTGTAAACAATTGCAAAAAGATCAGAAAAAGTTAGTTTTATTATTGAAGGGTCAAAGTCAAATATATAATTGCCGACGAAGCTGCACTTAAAAGGTATGAAAATCTTATACAAAATTTATGGGATCTCGTTGAGAAAAATATAGATAATATGACGTATACATTAGGGCAAATATTTTTTTTCGTTTGGTACTCCGAAAAATGGGTTCCTAAACACCTCTAAGGAAGCCTCTCCAAGAATGAGTTGATTATAGCCGAGTTAACAATAGCGCGCCAGTCGTTTCTTCTTTTCGCTGCGTGGCGCCAATTGGATATTCCAAGCGTAGCGGAGGTCTTTCTCTTCCTCTGCTTCCCCCGGCGGGTACAACGTCGAATACTTTCAGAGCTGGAGTGTTTTCGTCCATACGGACAACATGACCTAGCCAGCGTAGCTGCTGTCTTTTAATTCGCTGAACTATGTCAATGTCGTCATATATCTCGTACAACAAATCGTTCCATCAAATGCGATATTCGCCGTGGCCAACGCGCAAAGGACCATAGATCTTTCGCAGAACATTTCTCTCGAAATTTCGCAACATCGACTCATCAGTTGTTATCATGGGCCAAGCCTTTTCACCATATAGCAGGACGGGAATTATGAGTGATTTTTGGTTTTTGTTTGTCGAGAGGTTACTTTGCTTCTCAATTGCCTACTCAGTCCAAAGTAGCACCTGTTGGCAAGAGTTATCCTGCGTTGGATTTCCAGGCCGACATTGTTGGTCGTGTTTACGCTGGTTGCAAGATAGACGAAATTATCTACGACTTCAAAGTTATGACTGTCAACAGTGACGTGAGAGCCAAAACGCGAGTGCGACCACTGTTTGTTTGATGACATGAGATATTTCGTCTTACCCTCGTTCACTGCCAGACCCACTTCCTTTGCTTCCTTGTCCAGTCTGGAGAAAGCAGAACTAACGGCGCGGGTGTTGAAGCCGATAATATCAATATCATCGTCATACGCCAGCAGCTGTACACTCTTATAGAAGATAGTACCTTCTCTATTTAGTTCTGCAGCTCGAACTATTTCTGATTCATGAGTTATTCCCTTCTTCCAACTTGCATTCTTTTTATCCGCTAGTATTATAATGGCGTTTGACCTTTTTATTTCTTTTTCCAACCTGACGCATAGTTTTACGATTGAAAAGTGCTAATATGAGTAAAACTCTATTTCGTCAAAAACGGCTTTTATTCCCTTCTACCACTTGGTGGTGCAATTATTTCCCCCACCTGTGGTAAGCAATATTTGATAAAGCTTGTCTTTCATTTTCATTAAGAACAGTATCGATTGATTTAAAAAACATCAGATCGCCTGGTATTTGGAAGTAAATTTCGTCAACATCAACATTTTTGGTTGATTGTAATCAAGTAATTATTCTCTACTTCGGAAAAATACTCTGAATCAATTGATTTTTTCCCTGAAGAATAGTGCATAAATTATCTAGCAGTTTAATGCATGGCGTATTTGATTTCATTTCTCTTTCACTGTTTCCAATATTTAGTAAATTTTCGGAAAATATTTGTGCGGATGAATCATTTTTATCATTGGCGTTTAGATCTTGCATAGTTCTATGCAATATTTTCATATATACATATATTAATTAACTTTTGTAGATAGCATTATTAATCACCTTTAAACTATCTGAAAATTATTAAATACATTTAAGATCGATTAACTATTATCAATAAAATGAGAAGCAAGCGGAAAATAAATAGCTCGATAATCAAATTTAGATACATACGTACATATATCCGGGAGCCTAAATAACTCTTATCATCAAAATAACTACATATATATATCATACATTGTGATTTGATGCATAGCAAATAATATAACTATGTTAAATACTTACATGTATGTATATATTTTAATTAAACAGTATTATTTTCACTATAATATGACTTAAATTTATATTTCAGTCTAGTTGTGGCTATGCGGTTATGCTAACACCAAAAATTGAAAAAATAAGAATATTTGAATATTTTATTGTAAACTAGCTGACTCCGCAGCCGTTGTCCTGGTTGAAATTATGTGTTTTGAAATGAAAAGATATTTAAATTTATCCTTTCATTTTTTTTAATGTAACGCAGTTTGATAAACTACATTTTATGGTTTCTGTTCTGGTGTACAGAAAAGACGGGTTTCCAACTCGTGACCACGCCACGTATATCTGGCCGGGTAAAGAACGTAGCATTTCCAAATTTATGCTACACACTATGCGACCATCCTTGTGTCCTGTTGATTGTCATCTCAAATACAATTTTCAGTGGAAACGGAAAACGTTTGAACTGAAACGGTAAATCGTTAGAACTTAAAGGAATTCATAGAATCAAGCATTCTGTCC